AAGACGTGAAGTTGGAGTTCATATTGCCGTCGATTGGCGACCAGTTTGAGACGATTGAGTCGCAGACGAGCACTACCGGTGCGGTCGATATCATCACCGATACCACGAATGAGAGGCCGAAACCGGACGCGAGGGTTAAAACGACTAACAAAAAGAGATCTAATAATAAAAGTAGAGTTAATAACAGATCAAAGACATTGAGATCAAAAAGTGACAAAACAAATACAAATTCAAATACCGGTAGTAATAATAGTAATAATAAGAATTGTAACCGGGTCAAGTGTTTGTGGCCGGGTATGTATTACCAGTCCCTTTAATCATAAGTTTTAAATACAGCGGTTAAACGATATATGTATTGACCACTGATTAGTTAAAGTAGACATAAATGACTGAATAATAAACGATTGCTTTTTCTAAATGTTTTACGTTTGGATGGAAAGGCTGTTCACTGGAATTCCGCGACAAATACAACCTATCGGTACATATGGTGAGACATACGGGCGAGAAGTCCTTCCACTGCCGGAGTGCCGGCTGTCAGAAGACGTACGCGACGAAAGCGGCGCTCGACGTCCACTACAACACCCACTCAGACAACCGGCGCTTCAAATGTACATTTAGGTAATCATATGACTATTGGTTTGCGTCTCAAATATATAGTCTTTTATTGTTTACACAAAACTCTCATTCAATTCAAATGTAATGAGTCACTTACGCTGCGGCGGAAGTAATCCTTCTGCGTCGAGTGACAGGTGCACTCGCTGTTTGTGTGGCCTGAATTCGGTAAGGCAACGTTAACCGGGCCTACATTCACATGGCGGATAGTCGCGGCCTATGAGCCACGCTCTAAACACTGTGTATTCGTATGATTAGGTGAATACCAGGCCTGTTATCTCAATCGTCTTCAGAGTCATAAACTGCGACACACGGGAGAGAAGCCATACAAGTATGTGTCCCATACCTGTCCGTTGTATGTGTTGATGACTAATGTATGTTATGGGGGGAATGGTAGGTGCAGTCAGTGCGAGTGGTCATTCCGATTGTCTCACCACCTGAAGACCCATATGTTGAAACACTGCCCACTCTCTGGCGTGCGCACAGTTGTGGTGCGCACGCTATTCGCCAAGGTTAGCTTTGTTCGGTACTCTTGGGTAATGTTCTCCTGAGTGTCGTTTGTTACTGTAGGGCAAACAGGCGAATACTGACGTGTATTTAATATAAGAGTTTATATTTGTATTTTTTGGTGTAAATTATGTTAACGTTTTTGTGCTCAATGTGTTCGGGAAAGCCAGACAGCACTCAGTCCTAATGCAAACACATTATAATGAACTTTAGGCAACTCAATGGCCAGTATATTGAGTGCAAGGTATATGATATAAGTTTAGTTTAGTGTTAAGTTAAGCAAAACATGTTTTTGCAAAAATATATTCTATAATAAAATATCAATTAAATGGACAAATTTTTTATACACAATAATTAAATAAAATGTAATTTAAAAACATTAATTATTAAAGTAATTTAAATATGATAACATATTAATACTGGCCATTGAGTTACCTAAAGTTCATTATAATGTGTTTGCATTTGGACTTGGTGCTGTCTGGCTTTCCCGGACGCATATATACAGTATATTCAGCGCTTATTGTGAACCATATATGAACTTAAGTGTCAAACATTGCGAGTAAATTGTGAATTTGAAAAATACATTCAATTTTTATTATTCATACATAGCGTACAAACACTCGACTCTCATTATCGTCTAAACCCTTGCCCGTCATAAGCTCCCTGTGCCCGTCCACCCGATACCTAATATTGTACATCAAAAATAGTGTAAATTTTATGCTTTTTAACAAAACTCGTGACAAAATCAATGCTAAATAGGATTTTTGAAACTGATTATCAAATCCTATGGTCAGACACTTACAGCATCGGCGTCGACACTCTCGAGGGGCTCGGCGTTGGGGTCGAACTCCACTTCTGGACAGCTACGGGTGAGAGACCGCACGCGTGTCAACACCACGCGTGCGATAAGCGGTTCCAATCGAAACAAGCCATGAGAACCCATTACAAGAGGACTCACAGCAAACAATGACATCCCGTTTGTCCGCTTATGAAACGTGTATTTAATATAAGAGTTTATATTTGTATTTTTTGGTGTAAATTATGTTAACGTTTTTGTGTTCAATATGTGTCCGGGAAAGCCGGACAGCACTCAGTCCTAATACAAACACATTATAATGAACTTTAGGTAACTCAATGGCCAGTATATTGAGTGCGAGGTATATGATATAAATTTCATTTAGTGTTAAGTTAAGCAAAACATGTTTTTGCAAAAATATATTCTATAATAAAATATCAATAAAATGGACAAATTTTTTATAAACAATAATTAAATAAAATATAATTTAAAAACATTAATTATTAAAGTAATTTAAATATGATAACATATTAATACTGGCTATTGAGTTACCTAAGGTTCATTATAATGTGTTTGCATTTGGACTTGGTGCTGTCTGGCTTTCCCGGACACATATATACAGTATATTCAGCGCTTATTGTGAACCATATATGAACTTAAGTGTCAAATGAAAACATTGCGAGTAAATTGTGAATTTGAAAAATACATTCAATTTTTATTATTCATACATAGCGTACAAAAACTCGACTCTCATTATCGTCTAAACCCTTGCCCGTCATAAGCTCCCTGTGCCTTTCCACCCGATACCTAATATTGTACATCAAAAATAGTGTACATTTTATGCTTTTTAACAAAACTCATGACAAAATCAATGCTAAATAGGATTTTTGAAACTGATTATCAAATCCTATGGTCAGACACTTACAGCATCGGCGTCGACACTCTCGAGGGGCTCGGCGTTGGGGTCGAACTCCACTTCTGGACAGCTGACGGACTGTTCCTGTTCCTCGTTCATCATCCGGGCCCGTCCGCCACCGATCTCATAGATGGGTCCCTCAATGATCTTGGACTGCACTGACGGCTTGTTTATGATCTCTCGGGTTTCGATCACTTTGGGAACGATTCGCTCGAAGACTTGTCGCTCTTTAATCACTTTACGCCTGATTATCATAATAGGTCTGACCATTCGCTGGTTCACTATCTTTCGCTTTTGCATGAATACACGCTTTCGGGTCTTATATATGGTCTTAATGCTGGTCACGACGTAGGACTCCGTGTAGGTCTCGATCTATGCCCGAGAGAGAGAGAGAGAGAGAGAGTGAGTGAGTGAGTGAGTGAGTGAGAGAGAGAGAGAGAGAGAGACGATTAAAAACTGTTTATAGAAATTCTGCATTAGTTTACAGAATATTTGCATTAAATTGCACACAAATTCTCTTAAAATGAACTTTTAATTTAAAAATTGATGACAAAAACCCCAAACAAACCATTTCCTTGCGGTTAGGCTGCAGATCCTTTTCCATGGTCTTGACGTCTGTGGGCTTCAGACCTACTCTGCGGACAACCTTACACTCGGACTCCTCCTTCTTCCTGTCAATCATCTTGATATTGGGGGTCACGGGCTCTTCGAGGCTTCGCATCTGGGGTTTGTTGCACTTCTTGGGCGGGTTTATCATAGACCTCATGTGCGGCACATCCTTCCAGCCGCAGTTATTTGGGGAGTTGGGGAGTCCCGTCTCGAAACCCCCTGACGGTGGCCCAGCCAGTGATCTCATTCGACCTCCCTGTGCAGGCATACCACCGCCACCACCGCCCCCGTAATCATCTCCGTCAGGCATTGGCATACCATAGCCGGCAGACTCCAGACTCGGCGCCTCCATTTGGTTCACTTGCTTGACACCGAGGTATTGGTAGTTAGGTTTGGCCAGTAGTTGGCCATCTATTTTGGGAATAATTATGTGTAAAATTAAATGTATAATTAAATTTAAATTTATAGGTTAATGATATTTGCAGTGAATTAGTGGATTAGTTATTAGTGATTTCATTGACTTACGATTTATACAAATTATAAGACATATGAACGCCTTTAAAACCATTTTTGTTAAACGGAGTTCCGGCCGGTGGTTACCAATGTATAAAGCAATAGACTTTTATTTATAAAAATTTTATTTTAATTAACAAATCAAATATGGATTTTTTCAGATTAATTAGGAATACCTTTGCTATAAAACTGATATTAAAATTACAAAAATAATTTATAAAAACAACTAATGAACGAATGAAAACACAAATTAATTAAAACTTGAAATTCAATCATAACTGCAATACATGGACTGCAATACAATTGACACCAAAATTTCAAACATTTTCTTATTATAAATAGAAGTTTATGAAACAAAAAAGTTTTTATCATTTAATTTATTAGCATTATTTTCCGCCTCTAAAACTTAATTTATGCGTTCCGTATGCCGTCCTTTGGGGCGCCGCGTACACTCCACCGCCGGGCAGGTAGGCACCGGCTGCTGCACAGGGAGGCTCCTGTTGTTGCTGCTGCCGGTGTGGCGGATATATCTGATGAATGAATTTAATAGGTTTTTAAAACTCCAGTTCCCACTAATCAATCTAAAAGTATAATCACACGAAGTAGTACTAGACTTACGATCATAGACCGGGACTGGACCTGAACTGGTCCGTCCTCCATGCCTACATTGGGAGGCGAGTTAGGCATTACCGGCATTTCTGGCATTTGGGGCTCCATTACAGGCAGTGGTTGCCTCTGTCGGTGCGGCATAAATAGTGGCCCTCTATGTGGTGGCGGCATATCGTTGTTGGGCGGCGGAGGTATGCCACTCTCGCCCTCGTAATCGTCGACACACACCTCGGCGTCCAAGTTATACCTGGCGTTCGGGTCCTCCATGGGCTCCTTCGGGCCCTCCTGTATGCTGTACTTGATCTCCGGTTTGTCGATCACTTCGCGCGTCTCGATAATCTTCGGCACAATCCTCTCGAAAGTCTGCCTCTCTTTGACGAGCCGTCGTCTGATGATAAGCACGGGTTTACTGATCGTACGCTTGATCTTACGGCGCCGTTGGATGAAAATCCGTTTCCTAGTGATTGTCTTAAATTTGGGCGCCGGCTCTGTAGGGGACGGTGGGGTAGTCGTCTCCTCGTCGCTCTGGGTGTATGTGTTTGTAGTCATAAGCAAACATAAAGTTATTAAAAAAGTTTGCAAACTTTGAACCGATTGAAACGGCCATAGAGTTTGGCATTCATTGAATCGTTAATTTAGCTTAAGTATAGAGATTATGATAATACAGCGTATCTATTGCTAGGATCGTTGGCATCTCCAGGGAATCCAGACCGCCCCCTGGGGCCCGGACCCAGTGGACTGTCTGGATTGTCCGGGTCAAAATCGGGATCATCCAGCTCACTCTCGCACGCCTGTCTGTTGTCAGGCTATTGGTGTGATTAGTAATTAAAATAAGTGTAAAATAGACTAATTAAACATAAAATGAGTTCATTTTCAATGGAAACCCGGCCTCACATCTAATGATCTCATGTGACCAAAACCATCGTCAGAGGGTTCTCCTGAACCATCGGTAGGCTCTGTGATGGGCGGCGGCGATGTGTACTCCGGGGGCGGTGTCGGGTCGGGCTCGTCGACGGGCACTGTTATCGTCTCGATCTGTCATCGCATTCAAGATAACGTTGATTAACATTTAGACACAAAAAAACTGCCCCTCCCGTGCCATACATACCATAGTGTGTGTTTTGGGCTCCAAAAAGAGTATTTCCGTGCACTCAGTGGCCGGCAGGTTCTGGCGCTCCTCCTTCTCCGGCCCCTCTTCCTTAGTCTTCTTGAGTTTCTTATACTTGGGTTTCTGGGGCACGATATGTACGGTCTTAGGACTGGCCACCGATTTGCAGTCATCCTCAGTGACCGGCGCCTCCGACTCTATCTCGTGGTGGTCGTCGTCGTCCTCACAGCTGTCGTCCTTCTTGTGGACAAACTTAGGCTTCGCGTCTCCCATCGCGTCCTCGTCTATATCCACATTCACCCAACAGTTGACCGCTTTATACATGGGTTCAGGGGGTATGGGATGTCAATAAAACAATTGGGATTTTTTTGTGGTCAGAGACCCATACCTGCGATACATAGCAGACATATCACACATATGATTGGGAAACGGATTAACATTATCTCATTTGACAGAAGATTTCTTTTTCCGATTAAATGAGATTTATTTGTTTTGCACTAAATATGAAAATGTCTGCCAAACCAAACGTACGATTAAATTGAGATTTTCTTAATTAATAATTTTTTAATTAATTGTCAATGTTTGTGAAATTAATTTTTTAAACACCAGATTTAAATGTTCGGAGTTATATTTCATATATTTATAAATGTGATATAAATTTAATAAACGGATATATTGTTTACTAACTTTTGAAATAGCAGAATATCACAGAATACAGAATGAATACATTTAGAGTCAAAATTTTAGACCAAAGTTTTCTATGTTAGTTAAAATTGTACTGTATAGTAATCTTGGTATTTCTATGGCACACAATAAATTGTTAATTAGGATATTTATTTGACTTATACTCAAATGAATAAAGATTTTAGATCAACCAGATCAATAAGAAAGCTCAGTTTATACATTTAAATTATATATTGAATATAATAATCATAAGCATTTTAACAAAACATTAAATCTTAAAAACTTTTTCATACAAATAAAAGCCAATATCCTGGGAAAGTGTAACAAATATAAACACTTTTTATTAAAAATCAAATTTGTATTAAAAGTATAAAACGATTCTTCAGTGATCTTGAGCTCAACCTTTATATTCAGTTTACTTGATCCAAGCGTTTAAAGACATAAAACACACCGACATGTCTGACCCGAACGAAAACCCGTTAGCCCGTCAGCTCAGAGAGGACTTGGGTAGGAGTGGACGTGGAGTCTATACACCCATACCGTATCAGACCAGTCAGCAGAGTGGAGGCCAGGGGTTAAGACCACAAAGATCTAGTGGACAGGGGATCTATACACCCATACCGTATCAGCCCAGTCAGCAGAGGGGAGGCCAGGGGTTAGGATCACAAAGACCTATGAGTTCGAGCGGTGGGCGGGCAGGTGGGCTGGACATGGAGACTATGCGGAGAAACCTGGAAAGACTTGAACAACTAAAGTCTCAGGGTGCACAGGGGTCTAGGTCTCAATTCCCTCAATTAATGTATAGTTAAAACATAACTCATTGAGGAGTGCATGTCTTGTACTGTATGTCTGTCAGCATATCATTTGCAGATTTATTCACTAATTGTTACATAAATCATATCCTGTATGTCGTTGTATGAATACAGCGAAAACGACTCCTTTTGGTGTGATTTAAAGCCATTCTTCCCATTGATTTGTTTTCGCATAAATTCTTGCATTTCATTGTGAACCAATTGTAACCCATTTTATATAATTACCGCTATTTTATCCTTTTTACTAAAATGTTTCAACTATTTGATCAACTCTTGGGTTTTGCTATAATTTTATTTCTTACGGTAATTATAATTTTGTTTCTAAATAAGCTTTCAGTGAAAATAGATTGCATTCAATTATATGCATTATTTGTATTAAGAATATTGTGTACAAGGTGACTTAATATTGTACAGTACAGTCATTGTATCACTAAATATATTCATTTTCTGTATGCATGGGAACGGTATGTCTCTAGAAATGCTATATTGAATACCAGAATAAAGTAGGTTCAGTAGGTGTGTGCATAGCTGGGGAACTGGACTGCGACTGTCAGGCCGTATGAATAAACACTTTTGTATTGCATTTGAATTTCATAACACATTCATTGAGTGATAATTGATTGACAAACACTTCGCCACGAAATCTAATCATGAATGTCGTGACAATTGCCTCCATTTCCCTACTGTTCCTATGGATGAGCGCATCCACGCAATCGGCTCTCTGTCCCGACCAGAAGACCCAATGCGGCGATGGTTTGTATTGACAGCCACACCACAGATCAGTTTCGGTGATAATCATAACCTCTTGCGCGCAGATATGACGTGTTGTAAGTGGTCTTCAGGCAACTATGGCTGCTGTCCGCTGGCATCGGGTGAGTGACACGTCTTCGGCGATCATCTGTCGATAACTCTGTGTCCACACAAACAGCTCAGTGTTGCGCCGATGGTCTCCACTGCTGTCCAAATGGGACCAAATGTAACGATAAAGAGGGCACTTGTGATGAACTAACCGCTCAAACGCCACAACGACTGCCACTAATGGTAGGCCAACAGTCCTCTGGTGTCTGTCCCGATAAGAACCAGACGTGTCTGCAGTACGAGACGTGTTGTAAAGAGAAAAGCGGTTCCTATGGCTGCTGTCCATATCAATCAGGTGTGCGATCGCCACTTAGTCGCTAGTACTCTGTGTCATAATCATGATGTCTGCGCCCTCCAGGTGTCTGTTGCAGTGATCTCCTGCACTGTTGCCCTCACGGCACCCGATGTGACCTCATCCACAAGGAGTGCGTCCGCGCAGAGGTCAACATAATGGGCACCACAGACACCGACAACAGTCTGACCACAAGAATGCGTTTAATAGGCTTCGAGGCGACGAATGTGACGCGAGTGGTGTGTCCGGGCAGTCGGTACACCTGTCCCGACAACAACACCTGCTGTCACATAAGTGCCTCGCAGTGGGGCTGTTGTCCACTCCTGAACGCCGTGTGCTGTCGGGATGGCATACATTGCTGTCCGTCCGGCACCGCGTGTACGACAACCGGTTGTCAATGAGTGAGAAAAATAGACTTTTAATCTCGAAAAATATGTATCAGTTTTGACCGCAAAAAATACACCGATTCTCTAGTGGTTAGACAATGAGCTCTAATAACCAGACACTCATATATCAGTCAAAGTATAATATACTGTATATTTGATTACAAAATAGTTTTGCTTTTCTCAACATTTTATACAATAATAAGTTATATATTAATTGTAATATTAATAACGAGTAGTGTTTAGCGAATAATTGCCATTCAATTATCAATTATTCAAATCGATTTCAACAAAAGACTTTTCGATACGATTAGCGTTTGTATCGTTAACTGAGTTGCCATTAGTAGTGTCGTCGGCGGTCACCTCTTCGCTATCACCGGCGAGAAGTGGGCCGTCCGTTGAGTCTATAAATGCTTGAGTAGTGGCCGTCGATTCCTCCGCGGCGACAGAACTGTCGTCTTCGGTGGTGTTGAGCGACGACGACGACGACTGGCCTAACAGTGGAGATCGGGAGGCGAGCGATGTGTTTGGCGACAGACTGTCCATCACTTGCCTATCACTGACTTCTTCTGTGTCTAATGGATCCAATTGTGGCACTTCTTCGCACGACTCGCCATTATCTACACAATAATTGATACACTGATTAATCGATTGTAACAAACAAATAGCAAATAATTCGCAAATAAAAACCACTTTTTAATTACCAGTAAATGCCTCGCAATGAGTCTCTTCGCGCTCAGCCCCTACACCCGGCTCTCTGGTCAGTGACTTAGCCATGAGTTGAGCCCTTTTCTCGTGTATCTCATCCGATATGGACTCTAAGTCTCGGAGGGTCTTCGAGTAACTGGTCTTCGCCTCCAGTATTACCGTATTTAACGACTCGATGCGAGCCTTAATGGCGTTCAGCTCTGTCTGAACTGTAGCCGACTCCTCATAGTATGGCCTAAAATGAATGGACAGACACACCAAAATGGTTTAGTTCTCGAGCACAGGTAGATAACAAGCTAATTGATGCATACTTTGACTTTTTTATGGCACTTTTGAGCTGCTTTTCCAAAGTGGACAGACGTTTCTGTTCGTCTAAATACTGCTGAATACATAAGTTGTGCTCCGATTGGCTCTCATTCTTCAGGTGCTTGGCCTCCATGAACTGAATGGACACAAGTGTTCACACATTCATTGATAATCAAACTCACGGATCAATTGCGGTGACAGTGATAGCGGTTCTCACATACCTTAGTGTTCGCCTGATTAAGCATCTCTTGCCAGAAGTGATCGAAATCCGTATCGACAGCACCGGTAGGCGTGANAACCTATCGCCGGGTATGCGACTGCTGTGCGGTTTGGGCGCCGGTGTGTGCGAAGCCATATTCGCCGTCACGCCTATGGAGACCGTGAAAGTGAAGTTCATTAACGACCAGAACAGCGCTAAACCCAAATTCAAGGGCTTCGCTCACGGGGTGCGCGAGATTGTCCGCGAACAGGGCATACGCGGCACATACCAGGGCCTCACCGCCACGATCATCAAACAGGGCTCCAATCAGGCCATCAGGTTCTTCGTGATGGAGACGCTCAAGGATTGGTATAGAGGGGGCGACCCTACGAAGCACGTGAATAAGCTGGTGGTCGGCGGGTTCGGTGCGATAGCCGGCGCCGCCTCTGTCTTTGGGAATACGCCCGTCGATGTGGTGAAGACCCGTATGCAGGGCTTGGATGCGGCCAAGTATAAGAGTACATTGGACTGCGCCCTACAGATCGCCAAGAATGAGGGCTTTAAGGCGTTTTATAAGGGAACGGTACCCCGGCTGAGTCGCGTGTGCCTCGACGTGGCCATCACTTTCATGATTTACGATTCATTTATGGATCTCTTCAACAAAGTGTGGAAAACGTAATCACCGTTTGCGGTGATGTCTGTCCCTATTTGTCTGTCAAACTGCCGGATGAGCTGTATTTACCATATAATTAGGTTTAGGTTTACGAGTGGATAGTAATGCTGACTGAAAACAATGACTCCTTTTTTGATATTTAATATTAGACTGAAATCTAATGTCCTTTTATATTATATACTTATTTGAGTACTTGTTTTGGATTTTTAAAAAATCATTTGATTTAGAGATTTGAGTTGTTTTTCTTCGTGTGTTTGTCTCTTAAAAATTATAACTTTTTTAGAAATTATGTGCAATTCTTTGCGATTTTTTTGTCTGTTTTTCTATTATAATTATATAATTTTGTTATAAGATATATAAATGTTTATACAGTTTTAACTAATTATTAATCAAAAAATTAAGATGTAAAATTAGTTATAAAAACTCATAGTTGTCATTATGTCTTAACTATTGATAGAGTTATTGATATTATATTAACAAATATATTTAAAAAGTGTATAAAAACGATCACAAGAAACAAATTTGTCCACAAAACTAGTGGTATAATCGCTATAAGACTGAAAACAAAATAATAAACTTATAGTTCAAAAAACTTTGTGTCATTTGTTGTCTAAAAATGTATTTTTAGTTACATTCTGATCGATATGTTAAATGACATTAAAATCGTGCAAATATTGAACATTGAGTTTGTGTGTGAATTGATTTCATTTCGCTATATTCTTAGGCTATGAAAACCAGTTTACTCTTATCTAACTGTGCGCTCCGGGATGTGATCGATGCTAATGTTTGTCGCAATAAATTTCTTATACAAACACGTGTTGTCTCGTATTTTTCGAGGGCTTTCTCTTAAAATTAGACCAAAATATGGGTGTTTTTGTTAATTCGTTTAGTATTTATATTCCAAACATACCGTTCCTATTCATAAGAATCTGATTATTCATTGAGAGAGAGAGAGAGAGAGAGAGAGAGAGATTTATGAAACAGGAAAAGTCTTGTGTAATACAATCGGACTATCATTAAGTCTATTATACAGTATTATATTGTAATTAAACTTTAATTACTTTTTTAGATCAACTTATTTTATACACTTAAGCGTCAGTCCCCTGTATGTTGACGTCAAACACTCGACCCTTGACTTTATGTCAGTTCAAAGAACCCAAACTTTTTAGCATTTTATTTATATTTATTAAACAAATAATTAGCTAATTTACTTAAATATTGTATTCATAAACTTATAAAAATTAAAATTATATACCTGTGTCATAATTAAGCACTTTATTATAAAGTAATACCTTAGACTTATCTATAAAATACAGTAAATGTGATATAAAAAATATACAAAGAATTTGGATACATATCAAACTATTTATAAGTATTTACCTACATCAAAAATAACACTTCAAATTATAAACTAATATTGTATTATAACAAACAATTATAAAACTGTTTTGAGCCCAAAAACAGGTTTCACTAATAAATTCATTACTTAATTAAGTAAATAAAGTCGACTGAAAGTTTCAATTTGAAACATACATTTGAAATTTTGAATACACGATTGGCTTAGAAAATGAAAATCCTTTCCCTTCACTGAGTCAATGCATTGACGTTACCATTAGTGTCATAGTATTTGTTATGGCATTTAAAGCTTAAACACTCGACTCCTTGTGATAAATGGCATTCAATATGCTATTGAAAAAATAACATTGTATTTATACAAGTACATTTTACGCTCATACTTGTGTGAATGCCAACATACAAATAATTGACTTTTAAATATTTGACACAATAGTTATCAGTGAATACTTTTAATTTATAACACTTTTATTACACATATCTTATGTAATGATATCGCATACTATTGTCATTACTATCGTGTCATTGAAATTCACTGTAAATTCACGTCTCATATGAAACTCAACACTCATTTGAATCGCTATTTGCGATACGAGTAGTCATTAAACACATCATGCATTTAACGATCACCTGATCCTACCATCAGTACAACACCCGCACCATCGATGGCCACAACGTCTTCAGTGGTGGACACCATCGATGATAAGGACAGTCAGTGCCAGTCGTCGGGCAGACCCGCGCTCACCATCGACGCCATCGACGATGAAGTATTGGATCCGCGGATTCGCGACAAACTCGAAGAACTCAACGAATTCACGGATAATATCAATAAACTCGAGAAACAATTTGAGGTATGGATCCACTCACGAGTTACGTGTCTATCAATCAATTAATGTCTTATTGTGTTGACTATGACCGCAGGAGTTGAACGCCTTATTCCGCAATACGTTGAATGAGAAGACCTTACGGTTGAGACAATTGTCGCAAAAACTCGGGACCAGTGTCTCAGACGCCCGGCCCTACTATGACTGCAGGGCGCGGGTGTCGGAGCTCCAGAAGCGCTGCCAGACCGTCGTCCAGACGTACGAGAAGTCGGCGGAACTGCACGACCAGTCCAAGGAGACCATCACTATCGCCGAGACTAAGTTCGCCCAAAGAGGACTCACGCCTACCGGTGCTGTCGATACGGATTTCGATCACTTCTGGCAAGAGATGCTTAATCAGGCGAACACTAAGGTATGTGAGAACCGCTATCACTGTCACCGCAATTGATCCGTGAGTTTGATTATCAATGAATGTGTGAACACTTGTGTCCATTCAGTTCATGGAGGCCAAGCACCTGAAGAATGAGAGCCAATCGGAGCACAACTTATGTATTCAGCAGTATTTAGACGAACAGAAACGTCTGTCCACTTTGGAAAAGCAGCTCAAAAGTGCCATAAAAAAGTCAAAGTATGCATCAATTAGCTTGTTATCTACCTGTGCTCGAGAACTAAACCATTTTGGTGTGTCTGTCCATTCATTTTAGGCCATACTATGAGGAGTCGGCTACAGTTCAGACAGAGCTGAACGCCATTAAGGCTCGCATCGAGTCGTTAAATACGGTAATACTGGAGGCGAAGACCAGTTACTCGAAGACCCTCCGAGACTTAGAGTCCATATCGGATGAGATACACGAGAAAAGGGCTCAACTCATGGCTAAGTCACTGACCAGAGAGCCGGGTGTAGGGGCTGAGCGCGAAGAGACTCATTGCGAGGCATTTACTGGTAATTAAAAAGTGGTTTTTATTTGCAAATTATTTGCTATTTGTTTGTTACAATCGATTAATCAGTGTATCAATTATTGTGTAGATAATGGCGAGTCGTGCGAAGAAGTGCCACAATTGGATCCATTAGACACAGAAGAAGTCAGTGATAGGCAAGTGATGGACAGTCTGTCGCCAAACACATCGCTCGCCTCCCGATCTCCACTGTTAGGCCAGTCGTCGTCGTCGTCGCTCAACACCACCGAAGACGACAGTTCTGTCGCTGCGGAGGAATCGACGGCCACTACTCAAGCATTTATAGACTCAACGGACGGCCCACTTCTCGCCGGTGATAGCGAAGAGGTGACCGCCGACGACACTACTAATGGCAACTCAGTTAACGATACAAACGCTAATCGTATCGAAAAGTCTTTTGTTGAAATCGATTTGAATAATTGATAATTGAATGGCAATTATTCGCTAAACACTACTCGTTATTAATATTACAATTAATATATAACTTATTATTGTATAAAATGTTGAGAAAAGCAAAACTATTTTGTAATCAAATATACAGTATATTATACTTTGACTGATATATGAGTGTCTGGTTATTAGAGCTCATTGTCTAACCACTAGAGAATCGGTGTATTTTTTGCGGTCAAAACTGATACATATTTTTCGAGATTAAAAGTCTATTTTTCTCACTCATTGACAACCGGTTGTCGTACACG